GTGTGTGTTTGTGTGTGTACGTGTGTGCGTGCATGCATGCATACGTGTGTGTGTGTGTGTGTGTGTGTGTGTGTGTGTGTGTGTGTGTGTGTGTGTGTGTGTGCATGTGTAAACGTACATGTATATCTGTGTATTGCATGCAGCATTGCATTATATTTACCTTCTTGAACTCGAACAGCTCTTTCTGCAGCTTCTGGCGAGCTTCGCTCTCGTGGTGGTGACCACGTTTGATGAATCTGAGCATCTCTGCACACCTACCAGACTGCAACACACACACACAACTCACACGTTAGGGTATTATTCTATCTCACTGCAATAAGATATAAGATATAAGATATAACAGTTTTATTTATTGCTTTCAATATTAGTAAGTACAAGAATTTTAAAATAAATAACAGCAAATAATAAACAATAGAGCGAAGGGATGACGAAAAGACCATACGGTCATCTAGTCTGCAATATAAGTGTATGTGGCTATGCACTGTATAAAGTGTACAAGTATAAATATAAACTCTATAAAGTGTATATAAGTGGCTACGCAGTCAAATTTAGTAACAGGTTATATACACTAACATGGAGCAGGAATCAAAACTAGTGCAAACAGAAACTGATTTAAATGGTTAGATTTGGTATGGGGGGGTACCCTCTAACTTGTTTAAATTTGAGTAAAAATTATATGATATATAAAAAATAATAATAAATAACAATAAGCTAGGATCAGTGGCATATACACAAACTATTACATTGTATTTGTAATTTACAATGTTTCAGAACTCGAACGTGTACGATCGAATAGTGGCAATAGGCACTCTGTATTTTTCTCAATTACATTGTTTTACTATCTAGTTGGTTCTGACAGAAAGTAGTTTACAAAGTAGAAATGCACAAGCACACACAATCCGATCGCAGGCCCAGTTACTGAGTATGCGATTATTTCAGTGCGATTATTCATGTGTAGGGATACGGGAGTACAGTATAATAAGCAACAGTACACAAGCATTACTGCTACAGTACTGGTATAAACACATTTTGAAATACGGTGCCATGTACTGCACCCATGCATGATCATGTATTACTATAACTTAAGTACTAGATTGGGTGGACACACGAAGTGGCTTGACTTACCCTTACGTTACTTGGCTAGCTATCCAACAGATCCAGCGAATATAAGACCTTGTTTGTTTCCCTAAATAGGAAACACTAGCACAACAATTCGAAACCGCGCCAACTCCTATACCGAAAGCACTGAGGTTAGGGTAACCGCACACGGCGCACAGACAGCCACACGAATTAAACCTACGCTTTATGAACTATTTTCTGTATAATAAATTCCAAAATTTATGAAAGTATACGTTGAAATAATTTACACATAAAGTCACACGTTAGAAACGCATATAAAAATAGGGTTGCATTGCTCTAATGCATATAGTTGTGTCCTGATCAATTTTAGTCTTTAGCCGCTTACAAGAAGTGAAATGTTATTGTATCCTACCGCGCCATCGACATTTTTCTCGCTTGGTGGCAGCAGTGTCCAGTGGAGCGGGGGGGGGGGGGGGCAGACGCGCTATGTCTCGCTATGTACGCAAAACAAACTCCAAAAACTCGACCACTGAGTGAGAAACAAACGTTTAACGAGTTCTTCGCATAATAATAATAATAATAGCGGATGCTATAGATGCATGGTCTCACATTGCGGGGTTGTGGAAGAGGAGAGATGGACTAGGCGACGAAGGAAGCGATGTAAGACACGTTTAAATCTACTGTTCCCGCGGTATTACATGCTATCAAGAGTAGATAATAACACATGTGTTATTATCTACTCTTGATGCTATATACCGAAATTATTATTATTGTCATTTATTATTATTATTATTATTATTATTATTATTATTATTATTATTAATTCACTGTATATAATCCAAATACAAGTACATGTGCTTGAATACAATCTTTTTCATAGAGATAATATCTGATGTCTGCAATAGTACATGTAAAATGGTACTCTAATTTCCAAGTAATACAAATAATACTATACAATACTAAAAAAAAACACATAATACAATACTAGAGTATTTATAGTGATGTGGATAAAAGTATTGTTTACGGTATTTATTATTATCATTAGTATTCATCACGGTGACGTGTGATAGAGGAGACGCACATGCGCGTGGCTGCGGCGTTAGCTCCTTCCATAGCTTGATATATGAAGCAGCCGGATCAATTTTCGCGTCAATTTGTCTCGGACTGTCAGGGTAAACGTAGTTAACCGTGGTCATAGCAACTGTGTCCTCTATAGCAACAGCAGGTGCTTTGATGCTGATTGTCATTTGTTTCGTTTCGCAGTTCGTGGGATCACCGAGTTAGGAACGCAATTGCTTTCAGAATCTCGCTCGTAAGTATACATTGCATCGAACTCAGAGCTCGGATTCTTTGAAGAAATGTGGAATTTGCTTCGTAAGCGCGGTTCGCGCGGTTAGTGGTTCGGGTTCGTATGTGTCGAAGTTAAGTATAAGGACTTTATGTCACTTATAACCCTCCAACACGACGGTCGTCACTGACACTGGCACTATCATTGAACATTTCCAAGTGGCCCGCGATGTCAAAAAATGACTAGCTCTATTGTTTACGATTCTATACCGCATATGTCAGACGACATTTTCGCAATATCGATATATCAAAACTGATAATCATTAGTTGTTTTGAGAAACGTAACGTAAAGGCGAAACGTAAGCTGTACGTTTCCAATCTTTACGGTTGAGTAACAATTAACCCAGTTATCTATATAGTTGCCTTAAATTTAGCGACATTGTATTCAAAATTAATTACGCATTTATTGCAACTCGAGTGCCCGAATTATGAATATTCGATTAACGAACATCATTGCTTATCAATGTTCAATGACAGTGCCAGTGTCAGTGACGACCGTCGTGTTGAAGGGTTATACGTGACATAAAGTCACTTATACGAATACTTAACTTAGACACATACGAACCCGAAGGTACGCACGCAGGTGAATACATGCTTTTAAATACAAGAATGCCTGCAAAGTGTGTGGTAGGTTATAACTAATCTTGTATTTGACAGCTTATGTGCGTAATGTACGAGCAATAGTATAACATACGCAATAAAATCATTACATTTTCTTAGGTGCGTGTATATCTTATCTGAACGCTGAAGAGAAGGGAGACGAATTGAATCTCAATATGGGTGAGTAGCATAAAACTTGCACACGCACGCACGCCTGCATTGTGTGTGTGTGTGTGTTCGTGTGCAAATACACGATGTAAATTATTTAACGTCATGTCGCTAATGTCGCGGGAGATATGGTTCGGACCGCACAAGCCTGTAAACATAGATGATTAACCATATCAAGAGCTAGTAATACATTATACAAGTGTTATACATAATTACAGGCATTATTAGCTCTTGATTATATATACTCATCGTTTATACGCTATGGGGTGTCACCCGAAACGAACTCCAGTCAGTATACAGGATATTGATCTAGCAATCGATAGTTTTTACGTAGAGCATGATGTGCCATGACAACTAACGGCCGTCACAGTAACTAGTCTACTCCAGGTATAACGTGAGGCGCTACATAGCATGCGCATGCGTATGCTGCCAGCTCTAAGCGTGTGTTCGCGTGCAGTGCGCGCGCTCGCCCGTGTGTGTGTGGCTGTGTTGTGTGTGGCGTGGTGTGTGTGTGTCGTGCGCGTGAAAGTGCAGGGCTGTGTGTGTGTGGCGCATGTGTCGGCAGTTGTGCGCGCGCGCGTGAAAGTGCACGGTGTTGTGTTGTTCGTGTGTGTGTGTGTTGCGTGGTGCTTGCGTGTGGTGTGTGCGTGCGCGCTGCGCGTGTGTGTGGAGAGTGGCATGCATGGTGTGCACGGCCACTTGTTGCGGTCAGCGTTGCGCTGCGTTTGCGTGCGTGCGTGTGTGCGTACGAACGTATGGGAGAGAGGCTTATGGGAGAGAGGAACGTATGGGAGAGAGGAAGCGAAGAGTGCGCACAATGCGAATTAGATACATTCAGAACGTGGCGAAATTCTACGATAAGCTACCCACACTGACACTACCGTAAGGGGAAGAAGGAGCATGGTCGTACCTATATGCCCCCCCCGCGAACCTGACGTGATTTCGTTCTTGTATAGATGTCATCAGCTATGATGATTTGATTGCCGGTATTAAGAAGAAGGAGCTTCATCTGTTTGATGTGCGCTCCCCCGAGGAGTGTGCTGCCACGGGCACGATGCCGACCGCTGTCAACATACCACGTACGTACGTGCATGCACACACACGCACGCACGCACGCACACACACCCACACGCACGCACGCACACACACGCGCGCGCGCGCACGCACGCATCTGCTGGCCGCTAATTTCCGGTTCTCCGATTTCCGAATCCCGGATGCCTTGATTTATGATTTCCTCATCCCATTCATCATCCCTGATTTCGTCATTCCTGTTTTATCCATCCGCGATTACCTGATTTCTGATTTCTTGTTTCCTGATTTCAAGGCCGTGATTTCACAATTAAAGATCCCTGCTTTCTGTATTCTCGATACCTGGGAGCAGTTGCTGACAAAACCTAAATGCGTTTCCAGTAACACATCACCATCTCTGTAATTATCATAACAACCCATGACAACGCACTCCTAATTGCTTGGCTTCCGCCCCGCAGTGGGACAGTTAGAAGAGGCTCTCAGCATGACGCCAGCGTTGTTCAAGGTCACGTACGGCGTCGACAAGCCGCCGGCAGATAGCATGAACGTCGTCTTCTCCTGCCAGGCTGGTAACAGGAGCAAAGGCGCTCTCGCTACAGCGAAGCAGCGTGGTTACTCTAAGTAAGCAACCTCCGTTATCATAGTTCACTGCCAAAACGTCATCGACTTCGTTTTATATGTTGAGATAATGTGGTTATATATAATATCTATTTGTAATAACAATAATAATAATAATAATAACAATACTACTACTACTACTACTTACGTACTTACTGCCCTACTGCTGTGCTGCCTGCTGCTGCTTGCTGCTGCCTGCTCTGCTGCTGCTGCTTGCTGCTGCTGCTGCTGACTGCTGCTGCCTTGCTGCTGCTGCTGCTTGCTGGGCTGCTGCTGCTGCTTTGCTGCTCTGCTGCCTGCTACTGCTACTGCTTACTAGCTACTTGCTACTGCTACTGCTATCTTGGCCTACTGCTATGCTACTGCTACCTGTACTGCTACTCTTACTGCTACGTGCTACTGCTACTGCTTTTATGCTACTGCTACTGCTACTGCTACTGCTTCCTGCTACTGCTACTTGCTTACCTGTCTACTGCTATTGCCTACGTGCCTACTGCTTTACTGGCTACTGCTACTTGCTACTGCTACTCTACTGCCTACTGCCTACTGCTACTTGCTACTGCCTCTGCTCACTGCTATCTTGCTATCTGCCTACTGTACTGCTACTGCTACTACTACGTACTACGTCCAGCGGCGGCGGGCCCCACAGGGGCAGGGGCGCAGGGGCGGGGAGCGGCGGGGAAGGGGGGCGGCGGTGTCGCCCCCTCCTATCATTTGCCCAGGAAAAAGAAAGACAGAAGCGAAGAAAACGAGGAAAAAAGAAAAGAAAAAAGAAAAAGAAACAAGAAAAAGAAAAGAAAAAGAAAAAGGAAAAGAAGCAAGAAGGAAACAAGAAACATCTTGCAACTGTCTTGCCAATTGATGGGGTGGGTGCGGGGTTCACCCCCCCCCCATCATTTTGCCAAGAAAAGGTAAAGAAGAGAAGATTCCTGTGCAAATTAATATGGGGGATCGCCCAAATAATGAGTGATGCTAGCCTACCAAGCTGGGACCACTTTTCATCGAAAAATCGAAATTAACCATGAGTGGTTCGAAATTGCAATCCATATAATAACCTGTGCTTAATTTGATAATTGATGTCAAGGTGTTATTTTCCTGCGGAGTCCAAGTTTGGGACCATCCATTTGTCGATGTATGTGTTTCCCGGCGCGAAAGGTGGCCACACTTTGATGGTGTGAAGTAGTTCAACTTAAAATTATAATTACAACGTTCAGACTGACTCTAAGGTCAGAGGCGTATCTAGGAAAAAGTGCTAACATTGCTAAAAAAGTGCTAAAATTGCTAAAATTGCAGTGAAAAGTGCAGTGAAAAGTGCAAAAAAAAGGAAGCTGCTCAAAATTGCGCGCTTCCAACTTTGCTGACAGCCAATGAAAAAAATTTGAATGTTGAGTTTTTGGTTGTTCCTCAGATAGCGATGCAATACTTCTAAAAACTGACGTGTACTTATCCCAGGTCCAGGCTTGACAGGGGGCGTTGTACGGTTTTGTTACAGAGGGGGGGTGGGGAGTTTCTAACGTAACCAAACTTGCTGAGGCACGCGAGGGGGCCCTCCCCCACAATTTTGTTGGAAAGTTAGACCCCCTTAGATTGCGTTTCTGCGCGAGCAAGGCGGGGGGTATCCGGACCCCCTGGACCCCCCCTGGTACACGCCCTGGCGTAATCACTTTGTGACACATAACAGGATTGATTATTTAAGATATTCATTTAGTTGGCAGATGTTTTTTTTTTTCCTGTTGCCTTTTTTGCGCTTTTTTTGTACTTGCCTTTTTTGCGCCCCCTTGAACATTGGCGCCCGGGTTACGTGCCCCCTTGCCCTCCCCTAGATACGCCCACGTTGCGCCTCTAATAACATAGCTCTTACATGCTATCTTGATTTTTACTCCGCATCGAAGTGGACGGCCGGAGGTTATGGATCGGGCTCTGTTTGCGTCTCGTGTCACACGTTAGCCATGCGTGGTGTGTGTGTGTGTGTCGTGTGTTGTGTGTGGATTTGGCGGGTGTGTGTGTGTGTGTGTTGTGTTGTGTGCCGACGGTGTGTGTGTGTGTGGCACTGTCGCGCGTACGCGTGTGTGTGTGTGTGTGGGTGTGTGTTGTGTGTGTGTGTGTGTTGTGTGTGTGTGTGTGTGTGTGTGTGGGTGCTGGTGCGATCGACTATGGTAGCGCGATCGTTCAGCGCACGCGTAGCCAGGGCCACAGGGCCGGGGCTTGGCTGTCTGACTGAAGCAGCCGACGCGAGCGACAGTGTACCGCTGGCGTTATTGCGTGGGTTATTCGTCGCGATGTGTTTGTTGAGTCGTATTGGCGACGTATGGCGTTCATGGTCGCTGGCGGAAGCTATTCTTTCTGCCGTGAGTGGCCCTACTTGTCTAGTTTTTAGTTAGTCGTGTGTATGCCGCGACGCGCGGGCACGCTGCGCGCGCGCCGCTGCGCGTGTGTGTGGTGTGGTGGGCCGGGAGCCTGATGTGTGTGTGTGTGTGTGTGTGTGTTGGTGTGCGCGGCGTCATCTCTCTCCGGGTCATGTTTCTTCTCTCCTCTAACCTAGTAATACAACAAGTTATTGGTTCAGCTCGAGTGCGTACAAACATAGATTATAAAGGCCAAATCTACTGTTCCCCCACAGTTCCGGAGACCCCCTCTTTTAGAATGGTCTAGTTTCATAGCATTGAATTTCACACGAAATCCAGCTAGTATCCGGAGACGCCCCATTTTCGCGACATAGCCGGTTCCAGAGCATTACCACATTCAACAAACGATCAGTTCCAGAGATACCATTTTCAGGTCTGAGCTTATGTTCTAGCAGCCCCCCCCCCCCATTTTTAACGTTCGCGAGTGGCACTATTACCAGACCATATACCTAGCCATAATGTGGGGGTGAGTCACCCCCCCCCGGGGTTTCATCTCCTGTTGGTTATGTTGCTCCTTGGTTCCGCTGCACAATTTTTGTGTCAGCAATTTGAGGGCTTGATTAGCGTAAACTCTCGAGAGCTTCCCCGGACCCCTGCCAGGGGCACTAAGCGCGCGGCCCCTGTGGCTGGATTCATTCAACGTTTCGCGCAAAGGCTGTAGTTGCGTTACACAGAGTCTACGAAGTGGACGTTACGCAGAATGCTCGTAGGTGCGATTCATGCAACGCAGCGTAGCACCTCCTCATTTTCGTTTGTATGATTGTGTTCAACACTCGATTGAAAAGCAGCGACACGTACGCGGGGTTGCGCTGCGGTGCGTGTGCACGTACACGTGCTGTGCCGTGCGTGTGTGGGCGGCACATATCACGTTGCGTGCGTCGTTGTGCACGTACACGTGGGCGGTCGAGCGCCGGTGCTCGTGCTTGCGTCGTACACGGGCGTGCGGCTGCGTGCGTGTGTACGTACACGTGGCGGCTTGTGTGCCACGTACAATGGTGCGTTGCGTGTGCCACTACAAGTGCGCACGGGGATCATGTACCGTCCGTCGTGCCACGATACACGGCTAGAACTACGGAACTCGGCTTCGTATAACGACAAACCAGATGTGCCAAGCTATCGACAAAAAAGCGTCAAAAGGTCGCCGCCTGTTTGTGGTCGGAGCTATGCGCTAATTATTTATTATATTTTTAGTTTGTAGGTGTAATTGTTATAACTGTTTTTCTCAATAAAAATTAATGCCATGCTGCGGTATGCTGGAAACACCCTGTGCAAATTGTCGAGTGGTGTTTACCGGCACCTCTTCTGTAGAGTCAGGCTCGTGGTATAATGTTACGCAAAGGTTTACGCGTAAATTTGTAGCGTTGATAATCGCACCTAAAACGGGCCCTCGCTGGCGCGTGGCGTCTTGCGGTCTGGATCGGGTACGCGAAAGGTGTACGAAAAATTTATTCAGAATAGCTGTCGGTGATGAATCGCAACTAAGCAACGGTCGATTGCGCTACACAAGGATTTTACGAGAAATTATTTGGCGTAGCAGCTTGATGAATCATTGAAGTCTACCCCCCTGGACCCCACCCGTCCCAGTGCAGCGCACACTGGGGTTAATCAGGTCTGACAGTTTCTCAGGCGGGCGGGTAAGGGGGGTCCAGAGGGGTCCGGACCCTTCCCTACTCGCGCATGGAAAACGGCATCTGAGGGAGGTCTAATTCAAAAAAATCCGTGGCGGGAGATCCCGAGACCCCCCGCTTTCGCGTGATCCTCTACACTGCCCGCTGGTTGCGCCCCCCTAAAGAAGTAGCCCTGGCGCCGCCCCTGCTACTGAGGGGCTAGCTACTACTTACTTACTACTAACTACTATACTATACTACTGACTACTACTACTACTTACTAATCATATAATAATACTAGAGCACTCGGAGCAGCGCAGACCTCCGCCAAGGGCTGAAGTTCGCTGTCACTGGTGGAAATTTTTTTAACTAACTTTGGGAATTAGTCAATAGATTAATTGGATCCGGATCACCACCAAAATGTAATCAATTCTAAGTTACCCCATTTCTGACTTATCCTGAAAATTTTATTAATTAATTGGATCCGGATCACCACCAAAATCTAATCAATTCTAAGTTAGCCCATTTCTGACCTATCCTGAAAATGTTATGACAATCTGTCCATAAGTTTTTGAGTTAGCTAGGCTGTACACAAAGAACGGTGTTACAAACCCACAAACACACGCCGATGAAAACATAACCTCCTGCCAACCCCTTGGCGGAGGTAATAATAATATCAATAATAATAATAATAATAATGAACAGGTGTTATTTAGGCCAGCACCTTCTGAACTTGTGCCCCAGCCCAAACCCTCTTGCTCTTATTTGTCACACCACACTGACTATGGATTATAACAGCGCTGACGACATTACTATTTACAGAGCTCGGCATTACCCCGGTGGCATCAGAGAGTGGCTGGTCAAGAACAACAAGCCGTAATAGGCAGTCCGTAGGTCAGTGTTTACAGCGGGTTGGTCAAACAAACAAGCACGAAGAGATGCCCGCCAACCCTCGCTCTGCATCCACTAATTCGCTTTATTTACCTGGCTTCCCTCCCCACCACCTTTCTTCACGCTCCACGTATATATACAGCCACCAAGTGTCCGTAAAACTTTCTTACAGATTTTTCGGGGAGTGGTATTGGGAAGTCGAATCGATAGCAACCCTTTCCTGTGCACCGGTGCAGTTTTTTGTGCTGATTGCTGCCTTAAAACGACTAGAAAGAATTTATAGTAGAGCCTAATGGATTTGGATGTTGAGTGAATTGCACGCGTTGAAACTTTTGATTGTGCTGTTTACGACCAAATAACAAAAATACCGTGGTTGGAATACTGTAGCATGGAACAAGGTAGTGTAGGTAATTGAGGAAATATTTTGTATGTTCAGCTTTTATTAGATTCCTGCTCGCGAAATCTGCTAAATTAATTATTAAAATTGTTTGCAAAAACAAAAACAGGGCAACAAAGCGATTTTTATATAGGTTTTCACATCGTAGCCTAGGGTAATCCTAGATATAATATATATATATTATATATTTTTCCTCTAATGTAAGCGGCATTGTTTCAGTGTTCAGTGCGAGTCGGTATGAATTATTGATATAACCGTCCAGACCAGACAGCCAGACAACTAATACTGTGATAAATGAAAAAGTAATAGCATTACATGTGACTCTATTGTCTATATTGATTAAAACATGTAAACGCTGCGAATATAGTAACGTCAAGATCATTAATGTGGAATTCACTTTAATGCAGTTTTATTGTTGCATACAATGATTTACTATAAATCTTTGATCTTAAAAGTTGTTAAAGCACACGACGCAGCATGACGTTAGTATATAATTATGGCTTGATGATGACCAACGTTGACTTGGTTGTACATGTCTACATACAATATATAACCTTTATTTTTTAACCACGAGTACGAAAATTTGCTTGTACTACCAACCATGCACAACTCTACGATTGGAAATGAGCTAAAACAACTAGTGATTTAATACGTGATAAGAAACTACTATAATTACTACGTATTTTCAAAAGAGCTTTACGACGTATTATTACGATGTACATGTGCTATACCGTCTGTTTTCAGTGGCAGTGACAATAAAAACTCGATTCATAGCGAGGTGCTTCGATTCTAATTGTCTATTTATGCATAATATGACTAGCGTAACAAGTTCATTGTCGTCCAAGTACATATACCACGCTGCACACGTATCAACTGCCCATCAATATAGTAACAAAGTTTCACACCGGCCTGCTGCCGCACAGATAATCACACAGATCATCGCACAGTATCTACGAGTACAAAAAAAAATAGCTATCGAAAATTAAACATTTAAAATATATATGTAATTACTGTATTATAATAGCTATAAAGAGGAAATTTCTGACAATACAATATATATACAATACATATAACAATACAACAAGTTTTTTCTTCCCAATCAGACGTGATAGGTTCGTTCCAACACATGTTCAACATTTTGTCTCTCAGTGACAGTGGCAGGTTACACGTTAGGTCTCATCTGCTGGCTTTGGACTCGCACTCGTCTCATTTTCTGGTCAATGAAATACAGTTTAGACTGTTAATAATCAATGAATATAATATACGTTTCTGCACATATGGCTCACTAGTTCATTAGAAAAAAATCAAGTGTATTTTAATCAGAAATTAGGAAAAAAAATGTTTCCACTTACTAAGCCAGCCGTTAAAACAAATAAAACAAACAAACAAAAGTTCGGATGTTTAGAACTCCACATTCACGCAGCACACAACTCTTAGCATCACGAAATAATATAATGCCAAACATAAACTACACCGATATGCACTGAAAGTCTGCAATCACAGTGCACAAATTTTACAATGGTACCCTCAACTAACACAGGTCGATAGCTCTACATGCTTTTGAAGCCAACAATAGCACGTAACCAAGCTAAACCCTACTGTAGAAATCGAGCGCGCACAAAAAACCGACAGTGGCACGGCGTGCCTTAACGCAATCGCGTCGCGTCTGTTGCCTTACCTGATGACTCGTTACTGTCACGTAGTGCAATCTGCATGTCCTTCTCGCTAGTGGATACCCTAGGCACGACGGCGCCGGAAATGGCGGAGAGCGGGGGAGAAGGCGAGTAGGATCGTTTCGATTCGTTCGAGTCGGGCGGTGCCAAGCAAGACTCCGGGGAAGCTCTAGGATCGAGTTGGGCTCCCGGTCGCATGGATAGCTCATGACTGTGGCAGCGCCTCACCGCCTTTCTCTCCTGTTTCCCCTTACCGCTCGATATCTGTGAAAACAATTAGCGTGCGATTTTGTATTGCCATTGCTGTCATTTTGTATTGCCATTGCTGTCATTTTGTATTGCTAGTTCTCTTCCTTCGCAACTGTCTAAAGGGCGCCTGTACTTACTAACTGCAATTGTTCGAGCAATAGAAAAGTTTGTGGTACACGTTGATATGCCAGTAACAATAGCAGCAGCAAGAGCAGCTGTAACAACAGCAAGGGTAACAGTAGCAGTAGCAACAACAGAAGCAGAAGTAGTAGTGCTACCACCACCAGCAGCAACAGCACCTACATGCCCACAAGCGAGTTGCAACAGCGACATTTTCGCAAGTCGATATATTTCTGTATATTCTATACAATTTGCACACTATTCAAGTTCTCAGCCTTATTAAACGGTATCAGGACAAATACCCCCCGGACAATCAACCCCCGGACAATTGACATTTACCCCCCGGACAATTACCCCCCGGACAATCACCCCCCAGACTATTACGCCCCAGACATTTACGCCATGGAAATTTACCCCCCGGACATTTAGAAGAGGAGTTAGAGGACGACAGAGAAGGTAGTGGAGGAGGAGTAGGAAGAGGTAGAGGAGGTAGAGGAGGTGCAGGTGGTGGTTGAGGGAGGAGGAAGAGGAGGGGAGAATGTGATGGAGGAGGAGGAGAGGAGGAGGTAGAGGCGCCCTCCTCTACTTCCTCCTCCTCCACCTTCGCCTCCTCCTCCACCTTCTCCCCCTCCTCCTCCACCACCTTCTCCCACTCCTCCTCCACCACCTTCTCCCACTCCTCCTCCA